GGGCTTTGGACTTCCAAAGTCCAGAAATATCATTCAACCATTAGCCCAAACCAAACTTATATTTTCAACCATACGAACTAATAAATCAGTTTAATATAAACTATAGAGCTCATTAGTCAAAAGTCAACACTTTCAAAGGAGCGTTACATGCAGAGTCTAAAATGCCTCGGGCCTCCTCACGCCCTATCATACCAGATAGTAGTAATTAAAAGTATTATTTTACATCATGATAGTAGATGAGCCCTATGTGGCAATATATAACAAGTCAACACATAGAACAAAAGCAGGGAGGCTATACAAGCTATAACAGTACACTATGCCTCCGAAGCCTTCCTTGATGGGCCACCACCTGAACTATCGCCTGAAAATGTTAAACCACGGGGTGAGACAAACGCCTCAGTAACCAACTTTCCAACTCATCATACATACTAACACGTGCTCGTGAAGTGTCAAGTGGGACAGTTATCAATTCTCGAGAACTATAGATATATCCATAGAAATATAATTTCAATCATCCAAACCCTCACTATGGGGGCCAACACACAAGCCACATAAGTCTATCCCTCACTCTGGGGGATCAATCAAACATATGGGCCTATCCCTCACTTTGGGGGACGAATAAGAAGCCACAAAGGCCTATTCCTCACTATGGGGGACGAAAGAAGAAGCCAACCAATGTGCACCAATGGCGGCCTTACCACGTGGTAGGATAGGACTCAATCCAAAATCTAAATAACAACCAATCATTCACAATATAATAAAAATGTCTCAATCTTTTCTCAGTATAATCCATAAGATATAAATTATATATCTTTTCCAAACTTCTCAATCACCATTCCAAAAATCCCACAAGACAATTTTATAGCTCAAAAGATATAACATATCTACTCAAGTTCCAAATATCAAATATTATTCGAAAAATAGCAAAATACTCACAAACAACATATTAGCACATATAACAAGTGGAAAGTGGTTACCTCTCGCCAAAGCAATACTAAGGATTACCACAAGGTCAATCCTTTGCTCAACCAATAATTAATCTACACAATTAATATAACCACATATTAATATAAATTAATTAATTAAACTTCTTTATATTATTTAAATTTTTACTCTAAATTCCCGCAACTCTCATAACTCAGAAATTATTAAGTATTTTAGAAACAACTTAAAATTTCTAACAACCCCAAATTATTTATTTACCATCTCCAAATTATTTACCTTAATAAAAAGGATTTTCATAATTTCCAAATATAAAATTACTATGTTCTAAATTCTAAAAATCTTCATTTAAGTTTAAACCTCAAAATCACACTATCAAAAATTCAATAATACTTCAAATATTTATAACTAAATAATATAATCAAAACTTTAATGGTATAACTACCATATATATATATTTCCATAAATAATAAACTTTTTAGCTACAATAATTATTTTAAAACCTCCAGTCACCCAATAAATAAAACTAAACCGATTAAAATCTCAATAATATATCAAACAATCCAAATAAATTACTTAACTTGAATTTAATCGGTAAAAATATAATATAAATCATATATCACATATTTTTCAACTAGAAAAATCCATTTAAGCACTAAAAACCAACAAATGGACCAATCCAAACCAATTAAAATTAACAACTTATTAACTTCTAAATTTCGATAGTCATCTTTTGTAAAAACTCAATACTTATATCATATATAAGTCTCAAAATTTTCTCTAATCACTATGATAATACTACTATTAGGAAGCATAAAATATATATGAAATATTTATGAAGAAATTTTGATGAAAAGAGATAATTTCATATACCTAAAATATCTTCAAAACTTGCCCTCTGCTTCACCGGTATGCTCCTCTCTCTCACACACTTCAGCTCTCTCTTCCTCTCTTTTCTTCTTCTCTTTCTCTCTTTCTTCTTGCACCTACCGGAGGGAAATGAATTGTGGGGGTATTTAACACCCCCACACAATTATTGGGGGAGGGGTTTTTTTCAAACCCAACCCCTACGTTTTCCACCCTCCCCCAATTTTCCACCCCTCCTCCAACTTTCCACCGATATTTCGGTGGAAAGTTGGATTTTTATTTTTTTAAAAAAAATAATAATAAAATATTATTATATTATATTATATTATATATTTTTTTAATTACTTTTTTTTTTTGCATTTTTTTTAGAGGATATTACAGACTCTACCACCACCAACCTACGTTAGACTAGATGTGGATGGCTCTGTGTCCGACCAGGATCATGCAGCATGTGGGGGGATACTGAGGGATGAAGACGGTAGTTGGTTATCGGGATTTCAACAGAATTTGGGATCAGTGGGTTCGACAATTGCTGAGCTATTGGCCATTAGATCAGGTCTGTTATTATGTAAAAAGCTAAATCTCTCAAAGATCAAGCTGTTCACAGATTCAAGAGAGGCGTTATACCTACTACAGCATGGGGGTGGATCTTCACATCCGTTCAAGGATGAAATATACGAAACGAGGTCCATCATATTCTCAAATTGGGATCCGGAGATAGCTCATGCTTGTAGGGAATCGCTGCGCTGCGCAGACTACCTGGCGAAAAATGCTCATCAAGTATCTATGGAGGTGAATCAGATTCAAAATCCTCAAGCTTTTGTGTTCACCAAATGCAGCTAGACTCTGAGAGTAGTCACAGAACGCAGCTTTCGTTTGCCGTGTAATTTAATATTCGGACTTTGTAGTTTCAAGCTCCCGCTTGCCTTACCTATCCCAAAAAAAAAAAAAACAGCGGGATGCCTCTCCATGCAATCCCCATCCCCACATCTGAAGTGATTGATTCTGATGCTTTTGATAATTTTCTCCGCCCACCTCAACATAAATACATATAAAATGAACAAAGAGAGTATGATTCCCCGTTAAGTTGAAGGGAAACATTGGATACATGCTTCCACACCGGTGGAATCCTGCACCCCAAGCAATCATCACGTTAATCTAAAGAAGAGCACTGCCAGGTCATTAGTGCCACGTGTCAAAGTCACATGGATCAGGTTTTGCGGCGCCAACGCTACTTAACTTGACACCGCACCGGCCCTTCATGCACGGGCCCGTGCCTTCCCGACCAGGCCTGACCCTCCCCGTCCCTCTGTCTCACGCTCATTACGCCACGTGTCGTGCACATGTCGGTGCTCCATATCCCTCTGCCTGCCAACGACTAGTAATTAATTACCGCTTTCATTAATTTCTCGATGCCAATAATATTCTCTCGTTCTAAAATATACCGTAATTTTTTTTTTCACTAGGTTTTTCCTGTCCGTTTTAATTATAAGAAAAAAGTTGTTTCATATTAATTCTTAAAAAATTAATTATTCTTTTTATGATAGAGTAGAATTTAACATGTTATTTCTCAGTAAGGCTCAAATATCCTAATTTTATTTATCATCTTATTGATATTATATCTACATCTTAACCTTATTTTTCTAATATATCTTGTACGCTTAACATTATTAATTTTTTCTCTCACTAAGATCCCTCTTTTTGGTGCTTAGTTTTATTATTCACGGGTATAGATTCATCATTTCTCTGGATTCAGCCTTAATTAAAGAATATTAACCATAATAATGATTCGATAACGTGGACCAAAAAGTTATTTAAAAAAAAATAACTCCACCATCAATATTAAAGAGTATCATTATGTCAGATTTGGATCCAAATCCAATTGCATCTTTGAGAATCACCCCTATCTGAGAGGCAAAATGAAACTAAATCATTAATTAATCAACATGTAACATGGTTTATTCTTAGTTAAAAACCTCCTTAATTTTCGAAATAGAATCCAATGAATTTAAAAACATATTAATTTATTACGTACAGAGTACGAAATCTAAATGACTTCCTAAATTCCACATTCTAATCATAAGGAATCGGAGACTTAATTAAATTTTGAAAACACCAATTATTGGTTAAGATTACCCAAATTTTTGCTAATTTCAGTTTTACAAATAAGGGAAGATATTACTAAATTGATTATATGATTCTAAATTGATTATTAATTTGGTCAAATTCAGTCTTAATTCATACGAATCTAAATCTCAATAATAATGAAAATCCTTATGATGACTTCCTTTCATGGCTTAGGATTCGCTCAAAATTGGTTGCAGTTGTTATGGGTCACTTTAGCTTATGTAATTACAGAATCCCTTGATTCCCAACCAAATATTTAATTTAGATCCACACGTTTTCTTTTTATTATCGCTTCTCAATTTTCAATAGAAATATAAAAATTAATTATTTACCTTCTGGGTTAAAAAATTATGCCAGTTAAAATTAGGGTAGGGTAGCTTCTAAAACCCTAATTTTTTTTACAATGTATATAATATTCTAATATTATATTTACGATACATCTAACACCTCTTATTATTAAGTTATTGTCTAAGTTACATCTCATGTATTAGATGCATTATGTTGGCAAAAAAAATATTAGATACATTATAAATAAAATTAAAGCATTTGAAGTATCAAAAGATAATATACTAAAAAATAATATTAGGATGTTTGATCCCAATTTATTCTGAAAAATTATATCTTTGACATTAATTAATAATATAAATAAAATATATAATTTCCAGTTCGGTCATCTTCAAAACAAAATAAATTAGAAATCGCAGGTTCTCTTTCTGGGGTTGCATAACTAAAGACCCTTGAGGGAAAAAAAGGTAAAAACCAGTCCTAGGAAAAATGACCGAGATAGTAACAGAAGAAAAAGAAAGGGTGTAGTCTCTCTCTCTCTCTCTCTCTCTCTCTCTCTCTCTCTCTCTCTCTCTCTCTGCGCTCTGCTCTGGCTTTTTGAGTGTTCTCAATATTCAATACAGCCCCTTTGTTTTGTGGTTGTGGGTTTCAATATCTGCATCATCCTCTAATTCATAACTGTATCTTGCTCATCTCTGAAGTGTCGCTGGGCATTGTCCTTCCTTCTTCTTCTATGCCTTGGATCCACTTTGTTTTATACGGAAAACATTTTCTTTTTCATGGACTCTAGTAAGAAACTTGTCTTTTCGGAGCCGTTTCTGTCACAGAGAAGGAAAGTAGTTTCTGGGTTTAGTTTAGGGGTTGTAGCTTCTCTTCTTATTTTCACTCTTATCTTTCTTGATCATTCCCTTAATCCTAAAGTTCAGGGCTTTCTTCAAGGACTAGATAATGATGGTTCAAATTCTTCCTTTCCCTCTTTGCCCTTTTCATTTTCATCTTCTTCTTCTGCGAGTAATGTCTCTGTGAATTCTGGGCAGAATAGTGAGGAAGGAAGTGTTCGTGTGGGTAAAACTGGCGAAGTGAATGTTCCACAGACGAATCCTCTGGAGGAAAATTTAACAGAGAACTATAAGAATGCAAGCTTGCATTCTGAAGAACCAAAGGTTCAACAGGAAGAAATCCATGAAACAAACGGCACATTGGGTTCTGAGAAAGCAAATATTTTGGATTCACTAAGCACTCGCCCGGAGAATACCTCCCAAGCAGGTCAAGATGTAAACTTGATTGGTAGTGGGAGAGGAACCCATGCAAGCACAAGTCTTTTTGACAAAGCAAATAAGGAAACACAGAAATTTCCTGCAACCAGAATCACCAAAGAATGCCAATTTCAGTGCAGAAAAATAACAGCATGGATAATGCAAGTGTCATTGCTAAAGATTCACATGCAGAGAAAATGAAGATCAGTTTCTATGAGAACTGCAACATTTTCGATGGTAAGTGGGTAAGAGATTATTCAAACCATATTATCCCATGGGTTCTTGCCCTCACATCGATAGGGATTTCAATTGCCACATTAATGGAAGACCTGATGGCGATTATGTGAAATGGAAATGGCAGCCGAATGACTGCGACATTCCAAGGTATGATTTTCTTTCTCTGATTCATCACGAATGGGAACTAGTTTTTCTTTGATGAACATACTGATGGATGGTAAGGTGTCTGCAGAATATAAAACTACCACTTGGTATTAAAAAATGTTCAGTAGGCTTTTACATTATCATTGATTAGAGGGATAAGTGCTTGTTTTGGCCTATTATAACTTTAACTGTAAGCGAATCGGTGATGACTTTTTTCAAATTCTGATGGAACTGTCTTAGATGTTGATTTATTATTGGTGGGATTTTTCAGTTTAAATGCTACTGATTTTCTGGAGAGATTGAGAGGTGGGAAGCTTGTATTTGTGGGGGATTCATTGAACAGGAACATGTGGGAATCTTTGGTTTGTATCCTCCGACAAAGCATCCCTAACAAGAAACGAGTTTATGAGATCTCAGGAAAGACGCAATTTAAGAAGAAAGGTGTTTATGCTTTTAGATTCGAGGCAAGTCTCTGTTACATTGGAAGATTGTGCAAAATATAGATCTTGTGATAGTATGCTTCTCATTTTGGGATTTCTTTTTTTGCTTCAATGTAGGACTATAATTGTACAGTTGACTTTGTTGGTTCACCATTCCTCGTAAGAGAATCAACTTACCAAGGAAAAAATGGATCTTTCGAGACATTAAGATTGGATCTGATGGACCAGACAACTCATACTTATCATGATGCTGATATTATAGTGTTCAATACAGGCCATTGGTGGACCCATGAGAAAACTTCTAGAGGGTCAGTTTTTCTAATCCCTTCTGCTCTTCAAGGCCTGCATTGACAGTAGGCATTTGGGACTAACCAAGTCATGTTGATTCTGCTGTCACAGAGAAGACTATTATCAAGAAGGTGATGTGGTGCACCCAAGGCTCAAGGTTCTTGATGCATATACTCGGGCTCTGACCACTTGGGCTCGGTGGATTGGCAGAAACATTGATGCTGAGCGAACGCAGGTTTTCTTCCGAGGATATTCCCCCACCCACTTCAAGTAATTCTCTTATTTCAGTAGATTTCATTCTTGTTTTCTTAGTCTGTTTATTGATCAACATTCATGAGGGGGTTACATACATGGTTTATGTACATGCTCCAGTTGAAATTTGTCCAGGATTTGTAGTAATCTGGTGTGCCAAAATTGAAAATTTTGAGATTTTTCTTGACATGGTTGCAGGGGAGGGCAATGGAATTCTGGAGGACAGTGTCACAGAGAAACGGAGCCGATATACAATGAGGCTTTCTTACAAAAGTATCCTTCAAAAATGAGAGCTCTAGATCATGTGCTCAGAAAGATGAAAACCCCGGTGACATATTTGAACATAAGCAGGCTCACAGATTACAGGAAAGATGGACATCCTTCTATATACAGAATGGAATATAAAACCGCCCACGAACGAAACTCGGCCGAGCAGCACCAAGATTGCAGCCATTGGTGCTTACCCGGCGTACCAGACACCTGGAACGAGTTGCTCTACGCATCCCTCTTGAAAAATGGCAAGGGCACTTGGAAAAGGACCAACTGAAACTTCACTCAAAGTCATTTCATACCCACTTCCTGATTCTTGATACCTGTATATTTTAATTCTTTTTTCCCACATTTTCAGTTATAGTTTCTGAGGAAGATTAGTGTGATGAGTTGAGATATTTGGGTTTTGTAATCATATTCTTATTAGCACGCTTTGCAAGATTGCAAGATTGGGTAAGAAAAAATGGAAGATCAAAATGTTTTCTGTTACCCTCATAACGAGGAAGATGGTTGTAGATGACACATGACAGTTTTAACTCCAAAAATCAACTCAATTGGCTGAAGCAGCATTAGAGAAAATGATCTTTCTGATTGGTATTGTCCGTACAACATCTCAAATTACTCTCCACCACATAATCAAATCCTAAGATAACTGAATGGACATCTGCTTCTTCTGCTGCCAATAAGAACTCAGTTTTCTTTCCTGTTCTCCATGAATGGTACAGCTGGTACATGGCACCTTTTTAAAAGAATCTAAGACATCTCAAGTTTTAACTCAAACCCACTCTATCTCTTGACCGATCCCAAGAGTCATCAGAGGAAAGTTTAGGTGACATACGATTTCTGTTATTATATACAGACAAAACCAGAACCCCCCCCCCCCCCCAAAAAAGAAAAAGAAAAAACACACACACATCTGAATCTGGCATGGTAATCAGAAATTTCGCATTCCCCCCAACACACACGTCTGAATCGGATATAGTAATAAAAAATTTCGCATTCATGAAAAGATCTCAGGCCGGATACAAGGCCAAGCATTAAAACTCTTGAAAACCACTGCTATATGTTCTCTTATTGTTCACAACACCATAACTATCATAATACAGACACGTAAGAACGACCAGAAGAAAACAGATACAGAAAGAGGAAGTGGACGAAGAGATGACCATCACAGTTACCTATCTGAACATCTGCAGAACAAAGGACTGAAGAGAAGAGAACAAAAGGGAATTCAAGTCAGCTGCAAATTAGGACAAACCTCAAGCTGGTTTCTTTATTACATGATCCTACCTCAAAAAGAAACATAAAATACTACAGAATCAAAAGCATAGAACATAGATATAGCCATCATAAGAACTCCTAAACAGAGTCCATTGCCTTTTTGTGACTTGCCGGTTCACCTGGCTTCAGCCATAGCCTCTATCTCTCTCTCTCTCCCTCTTGGCTTCTCTGCTTCTCACACAGAATACCTTTCTGTTTAAGCGCTTGTGATCAGAGAAGAAGCCATTAGCAAAAGCTCAAGCGAACTGTGAAAAATGGAGGGACCTCAAGAGTTAAAGACCTAGGACCCCTCCTCTCCAAGCTTCTCTAAGATCCATGGCTAGATTTTTGCCAGCAAAGCTTCATGCCCATCAGATTCAGAAACCACACTTGAAAGACTCTTACTGGTTCTTGTGGGATTCCCAAAAGGGTTCCCCCAGAAAGAGAGTGGACAAGCTAAGCCCCTGACTCTTGCTTTAAATAGCTAATGATTGAAGATAGCTCACAAGCGGTATGGTTTTATCTATTCAATATCCAAATGGCCTCTTTGCTTTTCCTTAATAGTAAAATAATGATGAAGGAGTACTAGTGTACCGCCACCATGTCCAATTTAATTTTTATTGATTAAATGAGATTAAATAAGTACGTGAAAAATAATAGTGTTAGTTTATATTTTACATCTTAGCCTTAACCTAATTACCTAATCTTTCTCTAATTCTCTATTTGCCACTAATCATGATGGGCATCGGTCATGTCTGTTCCCTTGAATAAATTTATAAAATAATTCTTATATGATCTCAATTTTAGTTCTGTTTTCTTTTCTTCTGCTATAATCCAAATTGTATACTTTAATGTAAGAATTTTATAATATTTCTAGCTTAATATTATTTATACTCCACCAATGAGCCACCACACGTTCAACATTTACAAATTTGTTTTCTCGCACAAAGGCCATGTGGGTGAGCTCAAAATGGAATAATGAATCATGTCCAATCTCCATACAAAAAGATTTCTATTCTGAAACTTTGTCAAAGAATAAAATAATCCGTACTAAAATATTCAAATGAATAAGGTTAGGGAAACTTTAAGAAGCAAGCCTGATCAACTAAATAATGAAGGAAAAAAACATTAGTAATGAGAATCATCTCTGATATATATTTTTTCTATATTTATTTACACAGACAACATTTTATATGTGCATGAATGGCATTTACACCAATTGAACCAATCTCCATTTGTGTTCATATAAGAAACTTAATCTATTAAAAATTAATAAAGTTTATCTAAAAGTTTTTCCTTCCCTCTATATATACACACACAAATATTATCAAACATGCGTATCAAGCCTCCACTTAGCGTTTGATTCGTGCTTGACTTTTGTTTATTGGAGGAGGCTTATTCCTTTAAGTGTTGCATCATCAGTGAATCCACTAATTGATACCAATCCCACCAATATTATTTAATTATATATAATCCTATTTGCCACTAATCCCACTTTTTTTTGTGAAAGCCATGCCTGTCAAGTAAACAAGTAATAAAATATATATAAGAACTAGTTAGAGATTAGATTTAGTCTTAAATATAAGATCTCAATCCATTTTATTTCTCAAAATTAGCTGTCTACTTCTTATAAATAATTCATTTAGGTTGTGTAACGTGTCATGAAACTAAAGCCTTTGATTTGAGAACTCAAAAATCAAAATCTAAAACACTGATGGGCTCCATAAACGAGCCGAATTGAA